AAAGCAGGCTGAGCAAGCCAGTCAGCAGCATCCTTCCATGGTCTCTGCTTCCTGCCCTGCCTCCAGGTTCTTGGCCCGACTTCCCTTCATGAAGGACTGACTATATGCTATAAAATAAAATAACCCTTTTCTCCCCAGGTCACTTTTAGTCATGGTGTTTATTACAGGAATAGAAACCTAAGACAAGTTCTAAAACTGTGCATTAAACATAACATGGTTTCCTTATGTTGAGTTTTCTTCACTGTTTGTTGAAGTACTTGAAGCCGAGTAACACAGCTGTATCAGTAGGTACAGTTTTGTTTTAACTATAGATGTGACCAGGCTTGTATTGCAAAATCGTCACTTGGGATACAATGTTGCAAATGGACCAGACTAGGCAAAGCTGGCTATAGAGAAGCCTGTTTCTGAGCCATTTGTATTTAGTGGATATAAGAAGTAATGTAGGACGGGGTGCAGTTGATGGGGCACTGAGTCTGTAAAGAATCCAGTAAACCTAAACAACTAAACTAGAAACAAATTGTAGTGTTGAGAGATTGGGAGTGTCTATCTAAGGAGAATGGCAAATTCTGGGTCAGACAAAAAGATGAATGTTAATGAGCATAGACCAGGCAGGGACAGAGTTCCTGTGATGGACTCAAGCTCTGAGAACAGTGCACTGCTCATAGGGGATCACAGTGCTGACGTGGAGGTGGCATGGGATGCCAACCTTGGATACACTGGTGTGTGCCGTTGCGGAATTTGACGCTATAAAGTGCATCTGAGGTCTCCTCTAAGTTTAGGAGTTGAATGCAGGAAGTGCAAGTGTGTAGGCTGGGAAATAAATGCAGTTCAGCCCATGCATGTGGCCCTTAGAAGGTGTGTGCCGAAGCTGTCTGTGTCTTAGGGTGGGCAAAGGGCCCCTAGGACCAATCACTTGGCTAGGTCAGCAAGAAGCCGGAGTTTCTTGCCGAGCTCAGGTTTGTGATTCAGTCTGCACCCGAGTCCAGAACCTGCTGCCTTGGCTTCCAGTGACAGAAACACAATTCGGCAGGTGGCTCTTGTCTTTTCAAAGTCAGGAGGACTCCTGGACACAGAGTGTGCGACAGCTGTTCTATTCCGTTTTCTTCCTCCTAAAGGACTGGGCCAACAGATCTCTCCAACACTTAAACTGTGTCAAAATAAAGATAAAACAGAAGGCACATGCTGTTGCTACAATAATTAGGAGACTGATCAACTCAACAAACATCACATAACATGATCAACTATAAAAACTACCTCTTCAACCCAAGATTTGATTATGCCTGTTTGCCCCTATATTTCCTTTAATGTTAATTCTTCTCATTTCTCCCTTGATTGGACTTTTACCCAGGTCACCACCACAGACTGGTCACCTCAGAAACACCGAAATAAACACCAAGGCAACCATTTGAAATTAAAAATTGAAGATTGGGGATCAGAAATAGAGGTTCATGCAACCTAAAAGCTATTTTTCGGGTTGAGTTGGATCAGGCAAATCAGACAATTATGGTTTCTTCTAGTACAATGCTTGTGGGGGGGTTTGTTTGTTTGTTTGTTTGTTTGTTTAATGGTTTGGATGCGTTAGCTACATTTTAGCCAACACCGAGACCAAATCAAAGCACAAACCCTTGTTGAAGAAATAGGTCTTCCTAGCCTTCAGCAGGGGTAGATGCGAAGCATTGGTGGTTCAGTGGTAGAATTCTCGCCTCCCACGCGGGAGACCTGGGTTCGATTCCCGGCCAATGCAACGTTTTCAGACTTCGGATTTACATCTAATTGGTAGAGACCCCGCAGAGTCTGCAATTTTACAATACAATCCAGTTGAAAATGCTGCAGCTGCGGTACTGGATGTCTGTACCCAACATGGTTGTTTTCTTCCGCTAAGACTGACCACGGGGTGCAGTTCCCTACCAGAAAGGAGATCCGCTGCAGGGAACAGGCCCTGGGCAGATGCAGGCGGGGGTGGGGGGACGACCCGACCACAGGACCCCGTGCGTACCCTGGACACAGCAACCCTGGTTGTCACCACGCTAGCAGCTATGCTCTCCGGCTA